TGAAGACACCATACCTCTAGTATTTAATGACAGATGTATATATTGTATATTTAACTGGTTGCATAAATGCATCAGTCTTCTCCATATGTCTAAATACATACAAGTAGAAATAGCTTTCTAGTGATAAGCCATAATACTGTAAAAATACTGTAATAATACTGTGATGGCATATAATCTATAAAATGCTTTCACTAAACTTTTTTTCCAAGGAGCTTTCATTTTTATGGAGGCCAAGTACACAAATCCCCCATTTGGCCCTGGAAAGACTGGTAAAATCAATGCAGTTTTTAGGTGTGTGCTTGAGAGTGATTGTTGCATTGATACTAATCACCAGTCTGCTTCCATTGATGCCTTGTTGATCTTCATAGAGCAGGGCTTGGGCATGTTGTAGCCCTCAAGATGTGTCAGCCTGCAACTCCCATAGTCCCTCACCATTGACCGTGCTAGGGCTGGTGCAAGTTGTAGGCCGAAACCTCTGCAGGACCAGGACTTAACCACTGCAGCCACGGTATGCAGGCAGGACTTTGTTCCCCTTTCTTTGTACGTTTTTTATCATTTAAGCTAACCATAACAACAGGAGAGGTGAGGTGGTGGGGAAATTACACAGATTTTACCGTAAATTATACAGTACTGCTAATGAAAATCAGCTTGACTCATGCCCTTAATATTCACTGCGTTTAGATTGGTGCAGCCAGCCGCATCCCTGGAATTACACCAGCTGCTGTTTTGAACCTGCTGAGATTTGTGAAAATCAGTCGCAGAAAAGCTGAGAGAATGAACAGCTTATCTGAGATTGCCAGAAGATCTGCTGGGAGTAGAGAGAGTTCCAAGCTATTTGTGTAAATAATGCCTTTGCGCAAAATCCATAGAATAGTTAATCGTTTGTGTTCCTGTGGTTTTAAGTTCATACACATACAGTCTGTATTTATGTAATTGCCATCCAATAAATGCATAGACAAATCCTTTTGGTAATAATCTGAGACAAGCAGGTCTTTATGTTAGCATACAAATCCACAGATCATAACAATCAAATGAATTGTGGCTAGAGTGAGAGGTTAACAGCCTCAGCGTGGATCCAGTACACAGATGCTATAACCCAGGGGTTCCCAAACTCTGTGGATCTGTGGACACATTTAGGAATTTTGGAAACCACAACCCCCATGGAGGATGTTGCTAGTCAAAAGTGAGCTAAAAGGGGGCAGGAGAGAAATAGGTGAGATGAGAGGCTGGGAGGAGAGTGAGCATAGCAAGTCAAAGAGATAGAGGAAGGAGAGCAACCAAGCATTCTTTTGAAGTGGGCAAGGTAGAGGAAAACTTCATGGGCACCCTGTCCCCATGACTGCTGCATTAGGCACCCCATTATACCCCCTGCTTTGTCCTTGATGGAATTAGAAAAGACAGCCTACCTTCTTTTTTTGAGGAGCATAAAGTACTTTATACTTGATGCATCAGAGTATAGAAACATAGTTAAATGTTTATATTTAACTCAAATTATCCAGCAGATCTTTTTATAAAACCCCATAGTAATTTAGCATACAGGCTCCTTTGTGTGACTTCTGACCACAAAAAAGAGCAGGAGCAGTGACTTGTTCTAGTCCGACCCTCGTTCAGCAACTACCAATCTGGCTTAACATCCCTAACACCTCAGTGCAAACATACACCCTATGCACACCAAGATGTCCCTTCATTTGTTAAAAAACTAACAGTTGACTTCAGCTAGCGCCTACAGCAGAATTGCAAAGAAGTGCTAACCACACTGGCAAAGCCTCTGGATGATACATTTGCAGCTGTCTTAAGAGAAGTTTCTTGGATAATCTTAGGGGACCAGTGGGATTCTGCAGGGAAAGAACTGGACATGTTGTGACCAGTTGTGACCAAGCTTTGAAAGGAATTATGAGAACCAATACCAAACACCAGGCCTAGGCTAAAATGGTGTTAAGTGCACAGGCTGAAAATGTAGACCTTCAATGGGCCTTCTTTCAGTAAAACCTACTAGACAAACACAACAGCATAAGAAAGCAGAAGACAGCAGTTGCCTATGTTCAGTCCTTCTTTAGCAAGAATAACATCTTCAACCTGGTGGTCATACTGACTGAGAATGATGGAAGTGCCCAACACAACTGGAGAGTGCCAGGTTAGGGGTTGCTGCCTGGATCCTAGATGCCAGCCAAGGGGTAGAAGGAGTGAGCATTAGGACTTGACTGCAACTACACAGTAAAAAAAAGCTAGTAGCCTACTGTTTCCACTCCTTTTTCAAAGTAATACTTTCAATAGCAAAGTATTACTATTGGCTGGTAATAGGTCTTGTTCAAACTGCGATGAGAAACCTGTCTATCCAGTCCAGCTGGTGCTTACATGATCTAGTTTTCCTACCTACATCTGGAGAAAATGCTAAGAAGGAACTTGGCTGTGGTGTGTGTTCTCCCATCTCTTAGAAAATTAAAGTATCATCGTGTGTGTGTGTTTGTGGCACTCGTACATGTGCATTTACCAGTAGGGCTAAGAACATACAATTTAATACAGCTGGAGAACATTCTGGTGCTTTGAGTACAGAGGTGACTAGTAGTTTCTAGTTTGTTAATGTCTCGAGCTTGCGTTCCCAGCATGGTGCACATGGGCACCCACAATACTTTTAATTAAAAAAAAAGTCCCCTTTTAATGAACTGTATACAACCTTCCAACAGGTATATATAGGCTTCAGTAAAAGATATTCAAATACATACTGATTCAAAGGTGGCATGTTTATGCTACCCATTCAGATACTGAAAGCATTGTAAGGTCCTTAATTGCACTATAGGAGGTGAGATTTAGCCTCCCAATGTTCTAGCTGTCAAAAAGGACAGAGCATCCTTTTCCCCTTCCATTTGTTAATTTCCATGAAGCAGGTTAGACATTTGGAAGAGAATGTACATCTGCCCCACTTTTGGCTCCTTTCAAGCATGCTATTATACCTGGAGGGGTTTTTTTTTTTAGCAGAGCTGCTCTTACAGGAGCTGCACCAATTAGTGTCCTTCCAGACACGAGCCGCTCCACTCAGCCGAAGTGCCAGGCTGACATCATGCAAGCAGCAGTGGCAAGTTGTACAACAAGAGAATCAGTGAGGGCTCTCATTGGTCTCTTCCTGTCACGTTTTTGTAAATCTAGCACACTGCATCCTTTGAGACAGATGCCCATTGGGAACATTGTAGGCCCTCACAGTTGCAGCCAACTCGATGTGATCTTTTGATAGCCTCGTGTTCCTATTTTATATCTGGAACCATTTCTTGAAGCCTTTCAAAATTTAGTGTTTTTTTCTTCTGATGAAGACCATTCTGTCAAATGCTTAATTTGACCGATCCCCCCCCCCCCCGCCAGCCCTGTGCGAGGTGTATGATCTCTGGTGGGTGTGTCACTTTAATGTGCAGTTTTTTCCAGTCAGGAAGCAACATAAAGAACAAAGCAGAGCCAGCCAGGTCCCCAGCACTCCTCCACATATAACAGTGGAGATTCCTTTTCCTGCTGCCTCTTCCCCAAATCCTGGCAGGGGTGGGGCCTATTGAGGGAGCAGAACTTGAACTTCCCAAGTGGGAGGGCCCATGGAAGTGGCACAAGGTTCTTTAGGCCAGATACAGACCCACTGGAAGCCAGAGGATCCAAACCCACAGATTGTATCAGGCAATTGAGAGTTTTGACTAAACTGCATAACTCTCAGTTTGTTATACAGTGCTCAATGCTTGTTTTCTCTGTTTAATTTAACACTGCACACACATAACTGTTAAGTATTATCTTTCACTTGATCCATGCTGTAGCAAGTCTAGCCTGCTGAAAATTCTTTCATGGTTGCAAAGCTGCCCAGCAGCCACAAGATGGCACTCAGTAAGCATATACTACAAGTGGATCAGGAAGCATATGCAGGTAAGAATCACTGAAAAGGGTAAATGTTTCCATTACTGGTTCAACTTTGCAAACCTTAGTTCCCTTTTAGAACTAAGCTGCATTCTCACCAATGTAGGGCTGGATGTAGCAATATGCTTAAGTTCAGATAATGTAATTTTTCCCTATATGCACATGATAGCATTGCCATGCTATAGTACCTTGGCTTTGTCACCTCAAGTGATTTGGAAAAAAATAAGGGTACAAGGACATTTAAATGGAAAGAATCATCCCACCCCCATCATGAGAACATTTGTTATCAAAGACACTTCCAAATAGTGATACAGAAAGAACATGAGTTCTGAATGTTTTTAATGCACAATTGGAAAGAGACAAGCATGTTTAAAGTGAATGCACAGTTCAGGCAATGTAGCCATTTTATTCAGTTAGTTTCCATGTCCACAAAGTCCCAAGAGCAAATTCTTTCAACTAGCTTTGAAATTTTTCTCTAAAGAGGGGGGCTTTTCTATGGCAGTGGGCCCTCTACATCTAGTAAATTGTAACTAGAACATTTAGAAGTGGAAGTCCTCAGCTATTTGACCTATGGATAAGGTCTGAACATGTCTGTTGAGTTTTTAAATGCCACCCATGAGCAGAAATCCTCTAAGAAATACATGGTTTTTCAAGAGTTAGGATTTTTTTCTCCACATTGTGGGTTAATATAAATGTCTGTGAATGTGTTAAGCTGGGGCTTCATATACCCTATTACAATGTTAACTGAACTTTAACTTCTGTACAATGTATGAATTCTGCAACATTTCCATTTTTTTTTTTTTTGTATATGACTCCCTCCACCAGGCCTAACCAAAGCCATGGAAGACTATTCCTTGAGACCTTTAGGAATTAGCAGTTAAATCTGAGATCGTTAGGACATGATTTTGCGTGGCCCAAACCATCCAATTATCTTAAAATGCTTTATTATATGGCAGAACATGTATGCAGAGAAGTATTTGAAGGTCAATGTTCATCAAGAAAGGCACATCCAAATGGAAAACGCCTTTACATAAAGGCATGCTTAAAAACAAACCTCAGATGAGAGGATAGGGTTATCTAATTGGAGTTTACAATAGATATTAAATGGAGCCACTATTTTTTCCTGTATACTGAACTGTATACTGTTTTTTCATGTGCAGTGTCTACAGGATGTCAGAGGTACTCATCTGCCTTTGCTCTAATCCTAACTCATCCACAGAGGCATTCCCTCAGGTTATGGAAATGCCTAAAGCATATATGGGCAATCTGCATCTCTCTGTTAAAATGGTGAAAATACCACTATGTACATTATGACTGATTACTATATGCTGCTGTGGTTTCAGGTACTACTATTATGACTGATTCAGCCATCAGCTCAGATATCCAAGAGCCCCCAGGGCAGACTTAGGCAATCCTCTCTCAACAGTGGTGTGGTGAGAATATCAGCCTGTTTTCCAGAGCTACTGGAACAGGTGAACGTCTACTATATAGATGCCAAGTAATATTGTGAGATCACCATAAGAGTTCCAGTCCAGTGATTTGCCTTAGAGCATTAGGGAGGCAACCAGATGCACCCTAGAAATTTCCATATGCTCTAGCCAGTAGGGTGAATTGTCAGGGTATGGCAAGAGCTGTCCGAAGAATCTAGAAGAAACCAGGTTAACCCCCTTAAAGAGAGTAAGCAGCCACATTGCACAGGGATTAAATTTTGAAAAAACAAGGAAATGAAGATACCGTCTTGCTTTCATTGGTGCTGCCTCAGGTCAATACCCTGAGCAACAAGTATAGGAGCAAACAAGGGAACATTTAAGAAATTATTTAGCCTTAAGTTTAATTCAAGGTATCAATATACAGCATCTGTATACTGGTTAAATTAGGGCAGCAATCTATAATATTTTCAGATCACTGAACAATTTGAAATTTTGAAAGCTTCATGGCTGTTCTCTCAAAGTGGCTCTAAAAGGACATAAAATGACTGATAGGCAGCTCTAAGCACACACACATTTCCCAGAAGTATGCTAGATTCTGGGAGACCCCAGGCATTTGAAGCTCACTTTTGTGCTGAGATTTGTGTTGGAAGTGCTGGCTCC